AGGCAGGCACTCGGTCACTGTCTCCCCAGCCTCCTTTTACATTTTGTTTTGAGCTAGGATCTCACCAGGTAGACCAGGTTGACCTGGAATTCATTTTCTAGCCTGTGCAGACACTGAATGGAAATCCTCCTGCTTCAGTGGAATGATAAACTTGTGCTACTGGGCTTGGCTCCACCCACCCCCTCTTTTCTTTCTTAAAACTATAGACTTTAAAATAATAATAATCTTACATTTGATGAGCATAGCTAGAGGTAGGCCCGATGCATATGATATTACCAGCCTTGTCTAAGAGATTGTACTTTTTTAAAAGAAATTTATTTATGCTTTCTTTGTTTATCTCTTTATTTTCTATGCTGGGAATTGATACTAGGGCCTTGAGTATGCCAGGCATGTGCTCTATAAGCTGAGACACCCCAACACCTCCTGCATTTTATTTGTTTTAGTGGAACTGGGGATTGCCTAGGGCAGTGGCTTTCAACCCCTTTTTGATTGAACCTTTCACAGGGCTTGCACATCAGATAGCCTGTGTATTAGATATTTGTATTATGATTCATAACCGTAGCCAAATTACAGTATGAAGTAACAATGAAATAATTTTGTGATTTTTGGGTCACCCCAACATGAGGAACTGTATTAAAGGGTCACAGCATTAGGAAGGTTGAGAACCACTGGCCTAGGCAAATGTTCCACCACTGAACTATACTCCCAAAGCCCTGTAACTTTTAAATTTAATAATGAAACAAATGCTTTTAATTTTCACATTTACAGAACTTTTCTATAGTGTTTTAGAAAAGCATAATAAACAAAGGCTATTTAACAATTTAAGATTGTGAAGAACTTATGGATATTTTAAATAATGAGAACATATATGAGATTTTAATCTACATGGATTTAATATAAATCTACCAATTTGGAACAAATCATATCATCTCTATAAAAGTTTAATTTTTAAAAAGGTGTTAGAAAATACCTGTTACAAATGTTGAATGAGAAAGTTGTATATGCTTCTATCACTGCTAGAAGTTGTGTGCCTTTCAGTATTGGTTCTCATTTTTAGTCTGCCTTGATGTAGGAAGAATAGATAAGGATAAATGTGGAGTGATTCCCAGAATTCTCGGTGTCCTTAAATCTTTCAAGTGGGGTCAGAGATCTTGCTTGATCAAGCTTCTTGGATTTAAATTGCAGCACATATCCTGGCTTGGAATTCTCAGTAACCAGTAGGGTTCTAAAATGGACATGGTTTATTTCACTTTGTGTCCTTAGTTGTGAAATGAGGCTACATAGTATTTCCTTCTTTGGATTGTTTTGAATATTGAATGAGTTACTAAAAACAGTTCACTCAAAACAGTGCTTTTCCTATAGTACTGGATTATTTCTTAAATCTATCTTGATTACTCCTAGAAGTAATTACCACCAGAATTTTTATTATTCATTGTTAGTATAAACTTTTTGGTAAATTAATAAGCTTAAGTCACTGCCAAAATTTACTATTTATTTAAAAAAAAACCCAATAATAAGATAATTGATTTAGAATTCCCATCAGAGTCTTCATACTCCCACTAACCTGCTCTTTATCCAACTAATCTCCCTTTTATCACCACCATGCATGCATGTGCTTGTGTGTGTGCTTGTGTGTGTGTGTGTGTGCTTGTGTGTACTTAACACAGTGAGTTTCATTAGAGTTGCTTACAGAGCTTGGATGATGGGTGATTTACAGGAACAAGAACAACTTCTTAGTAGCTACCACTGAAGAAAGTGTCTCTCTCTCACCTAATAACCTGTAGGTCCTTCACAGTGTTGACAGATCCAAGCTTGTGCAGATAATCTTGTCAGCTGAGAATGCAAGCATTGTCTGTGCCATGCTTGGAAGACAGCAGTCCACAACACTCCATCCTTTAGCTCTGAACATTTTCTCCATATCTCTTTCGTGATGTCCCCTGAGTCTTGGAGAAGGTACTGTAGATGCTCATTTAGGATTGAGTATTCTGTGGTCACTTTTTCTCCACACTTGGACTAGTAACTGCTACCCACTGTGGAAAGAAGCTCTTTGACCAAAGCTGACAGCAGCACTAGTTTATGGGCTAGACATTAAATGTTTAGAAGACAGGCACATCATGGTCCATTTAGCAGAACAATAGTAGTAGCTTCTTCACTAAAGCCTGTGACCTCAGCTATGGGCTTTTTTGTTCAGGTTTATAGAACTAGATGTGAACTGACCCCGAATTGAAGCAAAAAGTGGTTGATCATGCTAGTATTTATTGTGCCAGTAAACTTTACTGGTAGGTCAGTAGTGTATAGCATAGTGTCCACAGTTGAATAAGACTGCTGATGACTTCTCCAGCAGCCCATGTAACACCTTTTGGCAGTATTTAACATTAGTTATCAGGGAGGAAGTTGGTTATTTACGTACTGTAACTAACCTTGTCTTTGGCAATAGGATCTTAGCTGTCTAGTTTTGGTGGGCAACTAAAAGCAAGGACAGATAGCCTGTATTGTTATAGGGGCTATATAGACCTCCCTGGCCAACAGCTAGCTCACAGAAAAAAGGCCTAATTGTGACTGCATTCAGTTCACATGAGTTTTTTATTATCAGGTAACCTAATTATTTAAATAAATTTTACTGAGAAGCTAGTTAGTTCACTGTTACCACAATTCAATAAATGTTTATTAAGTAGTTATATATTGGGGCCGGAGAGATTATACACTTGTAATCTTAGCTCCAGGGATGCAGAGATTGGCATATCCCTGGCCTACCATTGCATCCTACGCTGTTGAATTCTAGGCTAGTGAGACTCTTTCTCAGCAAGGTTGGTAGCACCTTTGGAACAATACCTGAGGTGATCTCTGGCTTCTATGAGATCACATGTCTCACACATGGACACCACCTACACACATAATCATGCGACTGTTTCTCACATTTTGCACTTTTTTCTTGCTGCGCAGCGCACAGATGTTAGAATAAAATTGTTGGGCTGTGGAGGAAGAGGCTGCATTTTGCTGCTTCCGTTTTTTGTCTTCCTAGCTAACTTGTTAGCTCTCTGTGGTCATGGGGCTGAGTCTGTTGCCTTTATCAGAAGTTTCATGGTGGTCTGGTGAAATAAGTGCAAAGTCTGATAAGTTGGGTTCAGTCCTTAGGACCCACAGTGGAAAGAGAGAACTGACTCCCGAGTGTTGTGCACATACATACTCCCCTCTTAATGTCTATCATACACGCGCACAGTAATAGGAAAATGTTTTCATGATAATAGAAAGAAAAAGGAGAGGCCCAGCTTTGATCCCTGCTGCCACCACTACTACCACCACCAGGGGAAGAAAGGAATCCATTCAATTAATTCTTTTGGGCCAGTGACCATGTACTAAGTTGGCATTGCAATTGTCAATGTAACTTTTAAAATAAGGTGTATGTTAGTAATTTGGTAAACTGAATGCTGAGATACATACCTCATTTGTGTGTATTGTATGTCATACGATAGAGTTTTTTACTTGAAAGCAGTGTTTCATTGTAGAGCAACCATGGTGACTTTGAGATGGAAAACTACACTGTCTGTGAAGGATGGTAAATGACAGTTTTGTACTGAGTGACATGAACCTACCTAGAACACTTGAGTAGTGATCGAGACTGTTTCTCAAGCAGTCCTTCTGAGGGTGGAGGAGGTTTGATTCCCATTCTGAGATTTCTGATGGATGGACCGTTGCCAGCTTTTATCTATTTTCTTCTAGTTTTTTGTTTTTGTTTTTTAGTTAGGTGTATATGTATGTGTCTGTATGTAGGCGTCTGCATGTGAGTCCATGTGTCCTCCAAGGACAAGCATGCTGAGCTGATTTTTTTTAATCTGTTCATTTTGTTCACAGAGTAGCTTTCAGGATATTTAAATCTTGAGGAAGGAGTTAAGAATTGATAAAGTGGGGGCTGGAGAGATGGCTCAGTGGTTAAGAGCATTGCCTGCTCTTCCAAAGGTCCTGAGTTCAATTCCCAGCAACCACATGGTGGCTCACAACCATCTGTAATAAGGTCTGGTGCTCTCTTCTGGCCTTCGGCATACACACAGACTATTGTATACATAATAAATAATAAATATTTAAAAAAAAGAATTGATAAAGTAAGGTGATTGTGAGTGATGGAGACCTGTGGGATTAGAGTAGAGGAATGGCAAGTTTAGAAAGTTTAAAGCCATTGCTCAACAGATGATCCAGTATGTTAACAATAACATTGTGTTATTTCATTTCTTACAGAACTGTACTTAATCAATAGACTATTCTTGAATGAGAATTGTGAGTTGGTGTTTTTTTTTTTCAGAAACGATGATAAGAACATATCAAATAATAGGATTCTAAGTTCTTTGTGAGATCTACCTATTAATGTAGTTTATTTAAAATTATGCCATCATATAAATATCTCCAGTTTAAAAGTGGTCTGTTTTGCAGAAGAATGTATAGGATTGTTAGAAATTAAATGAAGATTTAGATCTGATAAAATTAAAATCCTTTTTTATGTGATTCCAATCCAGAATAATTGCCTAAAATACTGTAATCTGGGGACTGGAAAGATGACTTGGTAGTTCTTGCAGATGATTTGGGTTCAGTTCCGAGCACCCACATTGCAACCTCACAACAGCCTGTCCCTCTAGTTCCGAGGGATCCAACACTCTCTTCTGGCCTCTGGGCAGCAGGCACACAGGTGGTACACATACATAGTTGCAGGCAGACACATAACGTAAAATAAATCTTTTTAAAAAAATTCAAAACTTTAGTTTTCATTAAGGGCCACTGCCAGACTCAGTGTGTTCAGACTGAACTCTTACTTCACCTAGTGATAGTATGAAGGGGTCTTTGGCTGGTTTCTGCTGTTTTGCATATTGGATTCATTGTGATGATAGATGTGTCATTACCTCTTCAGTTACTTGAAGTTAAGTTTCATTCAAGTGCCTTGTTTTCTTGAATTGTTTAAGATTTTCACATGAAAATCTCATTTGCCACTTTCTGTCTTATTTTCCATGCAGGTCATGGTAAAACCCCCAAAGATGCAGCATCTGTTCGAGCCACGCATCCAATACCAGCAGCCTGTGGGATTTATTATTTTGAAGTAAAAATTGTCAGTAAGGGAAGAGATGGGTAAGTGTAAATTTTGGTGGGCATGACAATTTTTTTATTCCTGGGTAGTTATATTTGAAATGATTCATAAGTGTTTATGATATAATTGGAAAATTGTACTCTTAAATCTTGGTTTTGGAAGAATAGACTCTAAATATCACAGTACAGCAAATTGGTTCTGGTTCTGGTTAAGTCCTAGTTGAACTAAAGCTTGAGTTCATGCTTTTTATCAGTCTTTTCTGGCAGTTCATTATGAAAACTGAGAGTTGAGGTTTAAGCTATAGAGTAACTGTTTTTTCCCCGAGTTCTGCCAAGAGGCTAGATCTAACTCATGGTGAACAAAAACAAAGCCAGTAAGCGACTTGCAGGTATTGTAAAGGGTGTGGTGTTTAGAATTTTAGGCAATACTTGGAAGATGGATGTTTGTGTTGTGTGTTCTTGATTAGAAAGCTTCCTGGGAGGCTAGTTTAATACGTGGTATGGAAACTTCAGAGTGAAAATGCTGGTTGATTATGGAACCAGCTTTTGTTTATTGTTTTCAGTCTTAGAATTGATGTGTGTGATATGTGTGTACATCAGAACTACTTATGGGACTATTAAAATATAGTTTGGGCCTTAACTGGAATATTATTAGAATTCACAGAAGTAGAGCTTTGGTAAAGATGTAGGCATTTTGAGAAAAGTCCATGGGGAATTTTGGTACATATTCCTTCCTGGTTCTCTCAAGTCATACTATTTTCTGATACGTCATTGGGATATTAGAGGGTCCTTTAAGCAACTATAGAGTCATTCATCCAGCTGTCAAGATATTGGGCTCTTCCAGTAAGTAAGTTGACCTGTATTTGAATTCCTCTTGTTGGTTTACCTGTGTTTGATTAAAAAAGTGTCTAATACATTATTCTTCACTTTGCTGAATATGCTCAGTGCCAGTGGTACTGAAAGTAGACAGGGAAAGCTTGAGCTTTAATGTCCTGTTTTGTCACCTGATCACACAGAACGTAAAACTAGAAATTCCCAAGAGAAAGCTTCTGAGAGAGACATTGGCCTAACTCTGTAGTTCTTGTCACCTTACTCAGCTACATAATGCTGGCATTGTCATGATGACTCCCAGGTTTCTCTAGCTTTCATTCTGTGTAGTCCATCCATAAATGACCTTGGCCTTATATTTTCTTGGCTACAAGTACCTGGAACCTTTAGTCTAATGCTGTTTCATTTATTCCCCTGAGCTCCAGTCAGATAGATATATCTACAGAGTTGCTCCACAGTCATTAAATTTAGCCTCTCTGAAATGCTTTTTTTAAAACCAGTTGGGCCAGTGTTTTACTGTTGGTGTAAACTTGAGGTTTTTCAATTTTTTTCTTGTCTCCATTGCATCTCCTGTGGTTGGATGGGTCTTGACAGTTTAGCTCTGGAGTTCCCCCAGGTGGTTGGTAATTGCCTCCCAGGTGCTCCATGTTTGTAATTGTTACCAGTGTCTTAAACCTGACTTGATTTTGTCTCTTCCTTAAGAAGCTAAAATAGGAACCTTTTTACCAGAGTTTATGATGTGATTGGATCCTGTGTAATTTTCATTCTTACCTGTTTGTAGCCAGGATTCCTCATCCTTCTTTTCCTCTTGTTTAAGATTGTATATGTTTTGTATGTAGTAAATTTGGTCCCTTTTGGTGTAGAGTTCTGTGAGCTTTTGTAAATATGTTCAATCATAACCACTATAACTAGTGTGTAGAATAGTTCCCTCACTCTCTGTCCCTTGGTAGATGACCCTTTCCCCCATCTCCAGCCTGGCAACCACTGATGGAGTTTCTGCCTATCCTTTGCCATTTCTAAAATGGTATATGATGAAATCATAATATTAAACCTTCTAAGTCTGCAGTATTTGCTCTTCATAACTCTTAATGAATTCGAGATCCATCCTTGCTGCTGTATATTTTGGAGAACAGTCCTTATTGTTGAGGGTATGGAAGATTAAACCAGTATGCTAACCTAGTCCCCAACTGAAGGGTAGGTTTTCACAATGATAAATATAACCATTATCAACATTTAATATGTACAAGTTTTTCTGTAAATGCAACTTTTCATTTCACTTGGATAAGTATCCAGGAATAAGATTGCCAACATGTAGTTAAAACATATTTTTAGCCCTATAAGGAACTGTGAGATAATTTTTGCAAAGAAGCAGGCCTAATTTGCATTTCCACCAACAGTGTATAAGTATTCCTCTTGATCTGCCTCAGTGGCATATTTTGTTGTGTTGTCAGAGTTTTAATTTTTTTTTTTGGCTATTTTTTCCACCTCTTTAAAAATTACCTTGGTAAAGTATACAAACCACTGTGACACTTTCTTACACAAAACCTGCCATAATTACTTTGCCCTTGTTTTCAATGTTCTCATGGTTTCCACTGTTGTAATGGTGTTTGTTTTTTCAAATAACTGCTCCTTAATTCTCATTGGATTTTCCTCTTATAAGGTACTTACTTGACACGTTCTGCTCCTGTGAGCTTAGGTTTTTTTTTTTTTTTTTTTTTAGTTTTTTATATCTGCCCTTTTCTTTCCCCCTAGTTAGCTTCCTGCTCCCTCTTCATATTTGCCATTTCAACAAATCAGTTTTTAAGGTCTAACTTCGGGATATCTTTTTTGTATGTGTGACTGCCTTTATCCCAGAATGATATGTGTCCCCTTTACCTTTTGATCAGGCTAATGATGGAACATACACTCTTTTAATTGTCTGTGTACTACTGATTTAAGTGTAGGAATATTTCAAATCTTGAATTTAGATGAGTAATTAGTTTTTGTCTCTACTTCTACCATTCTAAAATGGCATATAAATACTACTTAAGTGGTCTTTTAAGTGTGGCATCTTCAGCTTAACGTAGTGCATTTGAGATGCAGTTCTGCTGCAGCATATATTGGAGATGATGGTATGGATGAGCAAACTAGTTCACTTACTCATTGTCCAGTTTCCTTGGAGAGAGGGGTGTCTATCTATCTGTTTGTTTATTTCATTTTAAGTAGAATTTTCTTTAGACCATGTTTAAGAGTAGAACAGGTAAAATTATTTGAATCCAATATTTTAGCTTTCTAGAAAAATTGTCATTGATGAGTTTACTCGTGAAATGGCAGGATTTAGTATGATTGCGTCTTTGGGCAGTGAAAGCTAACAGGCGGGTGTGGTGTTAAAGTGTCGAGTGTGTGAAAATGCTGTGCGTATTCTGCCCTGTGCATTGTTTTCTAGGTCTGGTGAGGAGAATTAGGAGCATGACTGTGGTGGGGAATTTTTTCTTCTGCCTAGAAAATAAGCCTTGAAGGAAATTTGTTTTACTGTATGAAAGAATATAGTTTATTTTCTGAGTTAGCTTTTTATTTAAACTGAGTATAATTTTATTTTTTTAAGATTTATTTATTTTTATTACGTATGCAACATTCTGCCTCCATGTATGCCTGTGCGCCAGGAGAGGGCGCCAGATCTCGTTTCAGATGGTTGTGAGCCACCATGTGGTTGCTGGGAATTGAACTCAGGACCTGGAAGAGCAGCCTGTGCTCTTAACCAATGAGCCATCTCTCCAGCCCTGAGTATAATTTTATGTATAGTCATAAAAATAAGTTTATAAGGGCAAATTATCTGACCAGTAACCTGTGAATTTATTAGTTTAAAAATAAAAACAACACATTTCATAACAAAAAATTAAATTGTGTTATGTACATGACCATAATATTAGGAGACATATTAAGGGTATATCTTCACTTTGTGTTTTTAATATTGATCAAAGGCTGGTAAGAAATTTTTTAAAATCATTTTCTTTATGAATGTACTTTCAGCTTAGGAGTTTCATTCAAGTTTTTAAATTACACACACCGATAGATATAGAGGTAGCAGAGAAAGTTAATTCAGACTGTGAGAGATAATATTTTATTTGAGAACTTTCAGTTATAATTTATTGTGTGTATGATATTTTTAACTCTTCAAACAAAATATTGATACCACTGTTTGACAGTGATTCTGGAAGAATTGGCAAGTGCTTCAGTCTGTATTATATTCCTCAGTTTTCCTGCTGGTAATAGTATACTCTCAAAGTGTTCCTTTTATGCTTATTAACTTTATAAGCTATTTTTTATGAATAGAAAGTTTCCTATCTAGCCTTGAGACTGTCCAAAAACCAAAAGGACTGGGACTAAAGAGATGGCTCAGCAGGGAAGAGCGTGTACTACCCTTGCAGAGGACCCCACCTCAGTCCTAGCGCCCCTGTCAGACAGCTCACAACTGCCTTCTAACTCCAGTTCCATGGGTTTTAGCACCTTCTTCTGGCCTCCTCAGGCATTGACTCAAGTGCACAAACCCACATTTAGACACATTTACACTGATGTAAAAAAAAAACAAACTAGAAGGGCACCTCCTAGTTTCATTTTTTTTATATCAACAACTGAATGCTTACAGAGGAAAGTGTAAGCAAAAAGAAAGTAATGTAAGCAAGCAATATGGCTATCAGCTTAACCGATGTCTGTTGGATACATTGCATGGTTAGAAGGTCAGTGAGCCTAAGTAGCATTCCTTTATTCATGGTTGTCTAGGGAGCTTTCTGACATGCAGTAGAAGAAACTTAAGAAAACGTATCCAGGCTGGTATTTAGAAAGTACAGTGGGATAGGGCAGAGAGCAGTCACTATGCAAAAAAGCCTCTAGATTAAGACAGTCTGTGTTGAGTAAAGATTGAGATCATATATGGGGGAACTGAGGAGTAATTCTGGCTCAAGGAAACACATGTATTAAGGAAGTAGTATATGCTAGCCCTTTAATATAATTAAGAAATTGAGAGGCTTTGCTGTAGAAAAACATTCCACAAGGTGGTAAATGACTAAGGTAGTCTTGGGTAGAGTATGAATTTGTGTGGTCTTTGGCAGAGGCATTATGGCTCTTATACCCTACTGGGATTTAGGGGTTGTAATGGAAACAGAAAAAAGAATGAACTTAAATATGAGAGAGCCTTGATGGCAGTTCTAAACTTTATAGTAATAGCGAATCATCTT